GAATAATTATAGAGTAGGAGTATCTAAAGAACGTAAAGAATATATAAGCCTTTATTAGGTTTACTAACTTCTACTAATAATTTATTAATAACTTCTCTAATCTTATAAGCCTACTTATAGCTCTTATAAAGAAGAACACCTAATTCTAGTTTAACCTAATCTATTAGGAAGCTTTTAACGCACTAAAGAAAGCGTTTACTAAGGCTTCTATTCTCTAACACTTTAACCTAGAACTTCTAATAATTATAAAAGTAAATACCTCTAACTATATTATAGTAGGTGTTATATCTTAGACTAACGCTAAAAGTATAACCTAGCCTATTATATACTTCTTAAAGCGTATAAGCCTTACTAAGAGTAACTATAAGATCTATAATAAAGAATTACTTATAATTATCTAATACTTTAAGTAATAGAGACTTAAACTTAAAGGAGCTGCCTTTCTAATTAAAGTATTATGTAATTATAAGTACCTATAGTACTTTATAATAATAAAGTAGCTAAGCTACTAATAAGCCTAATAGTTTAAATACCTCTTCTAATTTAACTTTATAATAACCTATTATCCTAGAAAGAAAAGAGAGAAGCCTAATACTTTAATAAGACGCTCTTAAGACGTCCCTGCGTAAGATAAAGCCTAATAAGCTAGAAATTAGATACTATTAAGGCCTAAACTATTCTCTAAGCCTTTAGAGCTTTCTAGGATAACATCTCTAAGAGCCCTAATAATAAACCTAACTAAGATAGATTACTTAATAATAAATATTATTAATAATAAATATACTAATAATAGGTTTATTTAAGATACGCTAAAGTTACTCTAAGAAGATACCTAATAGTCTAAACTAGTTACTCTAAGTAAGTGTAAAGACTAAAATAGTAGATTATACTACTAAGACTAATTAGTAATTTCTAACTCTAATAAACTAAGAATTAAGTTACTCTAACTTATATATAAGTCTTTTATTAGTAGCTACCCTAGTAGAGGGAAGACTCTTAATATTCTTTAGCGTAAGTATTACTAGCCGCGTATATTTAATACTATTTAATAATTTATTACTTACTACTATACCTATTATAGAGCGAAGGCTTTCTATAAGAAGTACTATAGCTTATTAAAACTATTACCTATACCTAAATAGCGATAGTAAGATATCTCTATTAACTTTATTATTAACTTACCTAAATCTAAAGGCTGTATAAATATTATAGTAGTAGTTAATAGACTATTAAAGTACTAATATATAATTCCCTACGCGTTAATAACGGCCTCTATAATAGTAGAACTATTTCTCTAATACGTATAGGTCTATTACAGCCTGCCTAATACTATAGTATTTAATTAAGAAATATAGTTTATCTCTATTTTCTATAATAAACTATATAAATAACTAAAGGTTTAAGCCTAACTTTCTACTACTTTCTACCTTAAGAGTAATAAATAAACTAAAAACGTAAACGCTATAATAGAATAAGTCCTCTAAGTATTTATAAACTACTAATAAGATAACTAGGTATAATAGCTACTAATAGTATAGTTTAAAGCTAATAATATAACCTCTAAATTTATATAAGTTTCTCTATTTCTTATAAACTATAGATAACTCCCCTAAATAGGTTTTAAACCTCTAATAAATATAGTTTACTAAGCCTATTAGGTACTATAAGTAGCTAACATAAATAAGATAATTAAGAAGATATATAATATAATTAAGTTTATATATAAAGAGTTATTATAGGCGTAAGCTATATAGTAAGAATACGTAAACTAGATATAAATACCTGC